CCGAGTTCTTTGATCCGATCACGGATCATAGAAGTCTTCTTTCGCAAGAAGTTCGGATTAATCTCGAAGGTTTGATAGAAGTGGAAGCGGACGGTGCCTTCGGGATGTCCGTAAGTCATGCGCCCCCCTCGCTTCGGCGAGTTCTCGGGTGGTAGGCAAGCTTCTTTAAACTCTGTTACTAACGGTTGAGTCATCTTTGCTGATTTCGCTTACAAACACGGGCCTATGGCGGGCCGCTTAGCAATCAGTATCACGTCCCTCCAATGAGGGCGTGTCATTCTACAAGTCTCCATAGCAAGTTCTTTCTCAGTCGAGTCCTTGCTGACATCGCGCCTTACTGCGCCCCGGTCGCTCGTTCCTCGCGACGTGCGAACCATGCTGACCAAGCGGATCTGAAGAGCCTATAAATATAGGCGAAACTTGGGGGTGGACGCCATTCCACCCAAGTCATCCAAGTCAGCCACAAGTCCTTCAGCAGGCAGGTCGACGCCAACACCACCTAACCTAACCCTACACTTTATATTACCTCTAATTAACCATACTTTATTCCGCTTTTTTGACATTACACAATCACCGGTTGTTTGAGCTTAGCCATATAACTTCAATTCCATTCAACCATTCGTTATTCTACTTATCCTTCACTCACTATAAACTTATTATTACCCATTCACTATACTTGTCACATTACAACTCTATATAATATACACTATCACATACATATCTTCAAGCCACATTACGCTCCCTACAAAACCATATAAACACCGTCACCATATTGTTGAACGACGCAGTGTTCGGTATAGCCATTAACCATTCACCCCATTGAATCAATGTCTTCGATCCAAATCCAAACGCATCCTGCGTCTTCTTCCACAACTCTGGTGCATGATATAGCACCCAGCATGTCATCACCACCAAATCACTAAACCCACATCGATGTGTTTCCTTCACATACGGCACATTCCGGTGATATTGTGGTGTGAATTGTCCTGCCGGCAGATAGCACCCATAGCAGTAGAATCCACCACCACTCAACTTCAAACACTTGCGCTTCCATTCAATCCAGCCATAGCCCCATGTAATATATCGTCGCTTGGGCCATGCTGCTTGACAATCTTGCACATATTTCTTGTGAAATCCAGTTTTGATGTCTAGAAACGCCCAACAAAGTGCACACTTGTTGTGTAACACTGCCAGATAGTTGTTGAGTTCACGGACAACATCTTCCTTTCCCATGATTTGGAGTCCATGAAGTTCAGCTGCAGATCGACATGCAAATCTCCCATGATCATCCAATGTAAGTGGACTTGGCTGATGCGATGGTGGAGCATGCATGGTGCTAGGCATTTCTGGAGTACATCCAGTGTGATATGTTGGAAAGGAAGTGGCAAGATCAGGTTGCGACTATTATCTTTCATTAGTATGCATTCAAACATATGATAGTATACAATACTTACTGGTTGAGTCAAAAGAGAAGCATTGTCAAGCTCCACTTCTTCATAGCCAGCAATGATATAATCCATATCAGAAGCACCTTCATATTCCGAATCAACATCACTGGATTGATATGCCTGATAGTCGAGATGGGTGAAGTTGTGGACAGAGGTACTATTGTGAACCCGGTTGATGAACTGCATAAACTCAGTGTCTGGACAGCAAACATCACATTGTTCTGCTCCAGGTAAGTCTTGACAGATGATGGCTTGTGCGCTTTCTTGAACATCCATTGTGCTTGAGATATGTTCACGTCGACAGACTGACTGTAAACGTAGCCAGTCTCGCATGACTTTGACTTTTTTGTAGTCAGGAGGTGTCGGTTCAGGAAGTGACTGTGGCCACCAGCATACAAACACCATGCAAGGTCGGCCAGCTCGTCCTCCTCGGGCTGAGGCTTGAATGAAGTGGATGAAGTTGTACGGACAACCAACAAAAACAATGAAGTCGACAAATGGATAGTCAATACCATGAATGAAGGAAGTTGTAGCGGCCATCCAGCGATCGCCTATCTTTGCTCCTGCATACCAGCGTTGATGTGCCTGAGTACGTTCTTCATCACTTTTGTCTG